GGGGGGGGGGGAGGAGGGCCGGGGCCGCGTAGGCCCAGACTCCCCATGCACACAGAGCGCGCTTTCCTCCTCCCCCCCGCCGCCCAGAGCACGTGTCCAGGCCCCGCCGGGAGGTTGGCATCTGTGCTCACCTAGAGCGGAGGACAACCTCGGGCCGGCCCTGCAAACACCCACCCCACTTTCTGCTGACTCCTTTGATGATCCTGCTGCATTCCAGTAAATTGTGGGCAGTAGTGATGGTGTGATGTATCAGTTCTGAACCTGTTGGCACCATCTCATGAAACAATGTAGAGTCATATAACATTATGTAAGTGCTACTGAACCTTACCAAAAAAAATTAGTACTAACACTAAGCATTTAAATTGTATGTGTGTGTGAAGTGCTGTCAAGTCACTTCCGACTTGTGGTGATGACCCTGTGTCCTCCAAACCGTCCTGTTGTTAACAGCTATTCTCAGGTCTTGCAAACTGAGGCCGTGACTTCCATGTCTGAGTCAATCCATCTCATGTTGGGTCTTCCCCTTTTCCTCCTGCCTTCAAACTTTTTTTGCATTATTCTCTCTTCCAGTGAGTCTTATCTCTCCTTATATATAAAAGAGTTTTGGTGTGACTCTCTCCTGCACGTTCGACACACTTCTACAGCCTTTGGGCCCCTGATTTGTCACTCAGGAGGGGGGCCAATCACCTGGCCGCATTGCCTCCCTTCGTCGCCTCAGTCCCGCCCACAGACCCGCCGGGCGACATCTCGCCCTCAGTCTGTGGGGAGCTGCCGGGCGGGATGGACGCTCTGGCGGCCAGACGTGTCCAAGCCCCAGGCCAATCCTGCCGGCATCTCAGTGTTCATCATCGGCTGAGGCCGACTCCAGGTAGCTGGACGCCCTGCCACCGGGCGGGGGCTGCTGAACTGATGGCAGTAGAGGCAGCCCGTGGGACGCCACCACCCGGCCAGACAGGGAGGCAGTGGAAGCCCATTCCTTCGCCCCTCCACCCTGCAGTCTGCGAAGGGGGGAGAAACCGGGGACCGGAGGCCAATCCTCCCACCGCCGCACCCGTTGTCACCGCCTGAGACCCAATCCGCCTTGCGACCCAGCCTGCGGCCGCCCAGGTACCAACATCCTGCTGGCCCACAGATCGCTTGAGGCAGCCCCAACGCTGCCGGTGCCCGGCCTACCAGAGAGACAGTGCCAGCCCGTTCTATCACCCTTCGAGCCTGCGGTCTTGCCAGGGGGGCGACAGTGTGGGGCCAGCCTTCATTCTCCTCATGGGCAACGTGTGGCCCAACCACCATGGTGGGTGGAGGGCCCTCACACCGACATCACTCCTCCCGCTGAACCAGCTGTCGGCTGCCCACAGCCTATGCGCATGGCCACCCTGCGACCCCGTGGGCACCGCTGTGCCATCCGGGCAGTCAGCGGTGGAGCCAGCCTGGACGATGCCCGCGCCTGCGTAGGGACACTGTAGCGGCCCATGCTATCACCCTGGCGTCTCAGTGGTGCATCCAGGGCGGGGGCACATGGAGGTCTCACGTCCTTTTATGGCCCATTGTATTGGTCTTACGACGAGCCTTGCTTCTAGTCTTTTCATAATGTGGCCAATGTACAATAGCCGATAGCCTCAGTTTAGTCATCTTAGGTTCTAGGGAGAGTTCAGGATTGATTTGATCTAGAACCCACTTATTTGTCTTTTGGGCGGTCTCCAGAACCACATTTCAAAGGAATCTACTATCTTCCTGTTAGCTTTCTTCATTGTCCAACTTTCACACCCATACAAACAAATGCGTAGTGATGGGGAATACTATGGCATGAATTAACTTGATCTTGGCTGCCAGTGACATGTCCGTACACTTAAGGATCTTTTTTTAGCTCGTATTTTCTAGCTCATTTCCAGGAGGAAAAACAGAGGTATCCTAGCAGCAGAAAAGAACAAGTGTCCAGGAGCACCTTAAAGACTAACAAAATTTGTGGCAGGGGATGAGCGTTTTTTGAGATACTGCTCAGTTCTAGTATCCTAGCATACTTGGAATGCTCTTATATTTCATATGAAGGATCACTGTGCAGGATCCCACGCTGCACATTGTGACACATGGCTGAGCGGTGGGATCACACAGCACGTGTCAGAATGTGGTGGTGGGATCCTGAGGTGGAACAAATGGGCTGCACCACTTTATTCATTTTAATTATGTTTGGAATTCATGTGTCACCCTTCCAGAGTCCCACCCCAGGCAGCTGACAAGTAAAATCATTACTTGTAAAATCATAAAGACATTGAGGAATTTCAGACAGACGATATAGTCCGGAAGATGAACGGTTCCCAAACAGTTTCTGGTCTGTCATTTCAGACAGAACCATTTTAGAACTAGTTCCCTACCGGAATATATTTGTAATTTCACACACAAACGCTTCTGTCCTGTTTAGGAAACGGGGCTGAAGCGTTTTCCCTGTCAACCGCTTCCAAGTAGTCTTCAGTTTCCTCTCCCGGTTCCAATGCGCTTTTCCCTGCCGTTTTTCGCCCACGCGGGCGATCTCCAGCTTGCTTTTAAACGTTGCCTTTATATCATTATAGCGCTATAACGGTATAACGCTATAATGCAACCGCATTATAGCAACCCCATTGGAATGCCTAGAGTGTTGTGTTATAGCGCTATAGCGCTCTAAAGCGAATGTTAAAAAAAAAGCCGGAGATCGCCCGCACGGGTGGAAAACGGCGGGGGAAAAGTGGGAAAAAGTGGTGCCGTCTGAAATGGCAAACCGCTTCAGATCCAGCTCTTTACCGGAAGGGGAAAGCCATGTGTGAAATGGCAGCCCTATACCGGTTTACTCCATGACGGATCAAAAACGGCTTCAAAACGGGTTAAAAAGGGTAATGTGAAATTCCTCATTATAAATTCTCAATATAAAAAAACAAAACAAGCCATTGAAACCTGCCAAGCATAAAACAACCACTGAACACATAAAGACATCCATAAAATAGACAAAACAGAAGCAGAGCATGTTTTGTGACATTTTGGGTTGGCCCCTAAATGGCAGTATGGTAGATGCCAGGCAGCTTTCAAGGGAAAGGGCATTCCAGAGGTCAGGAGCAGGCACTGAAAATGCCCTGTCTCACTTCAGGCTGTAACCAATCGCGACCATAAACATTTCACACCATCAACTTCACCCATGCCTCCTCATTTTTTAGATTATTGCAATAAGCCTGATTTAAATGTCACCTTACTGATTCACTTAAAAGATTTATGCTCTGCCTTTCCACTGTACAAGTTATTCAAGGCATCTTATTAAATCCATAAAAACAGCACACAGTAAATTAGCTGTTATTTTAAAAGGCACTCTGGCAGCCCGATAGCGTTAGTTCCTGGTGGAGTGAGGCCATTTCCAAAATGAACAATCTCTGATAAGCCTAAGGAGTTCCAGTGCTTGGCGGGCAGTTAATGAGATCAAAGTAAGATGGGCAGGCCGAGATAAGAGACTGAGGATCAAGAGGCCTGATCTCATCTGAAATGCCTGCCCAGTAGTGTGGGGGCGATGCCAGAGCGGTTACTCAACCCAAGTGCCCTTTATTATCTGGATGCTGGGGAAAAAAAGGCATTTGTGCAGCTGCATAAATGTTAAAAAGTTACATTTCTCAAGATGGTCATCAGGCTCTCGTTCTGGGCACTTTCAACAAAGTCCTAAAGACAATGCGATCCCTCAGAATGAGTCACTGCAGAGGTCAAGGAAAACCCCCTTGGACAGACTTCTCTCCTTTCCCTCCCCATTGTGCTCAATTTATTGCTAGAAAATCAGAGGGGCTGGAGCTAAGTGAGGCCTGCTGCATGATTCTCTTTGCCTGAGATCCAGGGCGTGAACTTTCCTTGAATCTCCATCATACATTTCCAAAACCCCATATACATGAGTCATAGGCCAAGGGTCATTTTTTCACAGGTGCCTATTCACTCTTCTGGCAGCCTCAGGTGCGCCTAGATTCATCACTTTGTCTGAAATTCCTGATTGCAGCAATAACCAGAAGCAGTTTTCTAGCAAGGGACGGGGAGAAAGTCTGAAATGGGCTACTATTTTCAGTGCATTTGCCTTAGACTCCCCCAAACCATTTGGCAAACGTTTGACATTTTCTTCTCCTCTCCAAGGACTCATATAATGGGACAACTGGAAGACTGAGCTACAAAGCAAGAAGTCCCCAATTCAGATCTCACATCTGATGAGCACTCACGAGGTAGACTTAGCCAAGGGCCTATATTTGTAATGGAGGATGGGAAAAAAAGGCATTTGTGCAGCTGCATAAATGTTAAAAAGTTACATTTCTCAAGATGGTCATCAGGCTCTCGTTCTGGGCACTTTCAACAAAGTCCTAAAGACAATGCGATCCCTCAGAATGAGTCACTGCAGAGGTCAAGGAAACCCCCCTTGGACAGACCTCTCCTTTCCCTCCCCATTGTGCTCAATTTATTGCTAGAAAATCAGAGGGGCTGGAGCTAAGTGAGGCCTGCTGCATGATTCTCTTTGCCTGAGATCCAGGGCGTGAACTTTCCTTGAATCTCCATCATACATTTCCAAAACCCCATATACATGAGTCATAGGCCAAGGGTCATTTTTTCACAGTTGCCTATTCACTCTTCTGGCAGCCTCAGGTGCGCCTAGATTCATCACTTTGTCTGAAATTCCTGATTGCAGCAATAACCAGAAGCAGTTTTCTAGCAAGGGACGGGGAGAAAGTCTGAAATGGGCTACTATTTTCAGTGCATTTGCCTTAGACTCCCCCAAACCATTTGGCAAACGTTTGACATTTTCTTCTCCTCTCCAAGGACTCATATAATGGGACAACTGGAAGACTGAGCTACAAAGCAAGAAGTCCCCGATTCAGATCTCACCTCTGATGAGCACTCACGAGGTAGACTTAGGCAAGGGCCTATATTTGGAACGGAGGATCGGAGGTAAGCTATACTTGGCAACCCTAAGGATTAATAATGCTGTCCTACCTTGCATTTTTGTTGTAAGGATTACCGTAAGATAACATGTATAAACTCACTTTGAACACTGAAGCACCATGTCACAGACGTTCCAGTTGCCCCATTTTCTTGTAATTCTCCAGTTGCCTTTAGTGGAAATGTTGGGGATTTTTTTAAAAAGACTGTCTACTTTGGAGCTGTTCTTCAAGGCTTTTTCCAGCCAAGCTACCTGGAAAGCTTTGGCTTATTAGTGGAGGATATGCCTTGAACGCAGAAAGTACTAGGAGCTTTAAAAGATTACAGGTTTTCTGCCAGAGACTCTGGAGGACTCTGGGGTTTTGTTCTGGATGGCAGTTGCCTTGTGTGCTATGTATGGAGCAAACTGGAAGAAAGAAGACATAGCTCAGTAGCAGAGCACTTGTTTTGCTTGTAGAAAGACCTAGGCTGAACAAGGCAGCTTTTGAACAAATTAGATATTTGGCTCATATGGCTCTACTTTGATGGGTAAGGTTCAAAGATCTGAACAGAGAATGGCCTTTCCTAATACCTTTGACTGGAGATGCCAGAGACTGAATCGGGCTCCTTTTGCATGCAAAGCTCTCAGTGGAGCCCTTCAGATATAATATGCAAACCTGGGTCTTGTGGATCTTAAACCCCAAATTGCTTGTACTTTGATGGGCCTTGCTTCTCATGTTGCATCTGAACGAGTTGTACTTGCTGTGCTTCTGTCAGAAGTGGGAGAATGAGAAGCGGGAGTCCCTTGCCCTTGTATAAGACTTACTTCCTTTGGATGTCTGAATTGGCCCTCTAAATTAGTGACTGGCAAGGCCATTGAATTAGTTTTATATGTCAGCCACAATTTGAATGTGGGACAGCTAGATCTGAGTCCAGCAGCATCTTTGAGACCAACAAGATTCTTGGCGTGCAAGCTTTCGAGAGTCAAAGCTCCCTTTGACTCTTGAAAACTTGTACCCCCAAAATGTTGTTGGTCTCAAAGGTGCTACTGGACTCAAATCTGAACCTGGGACAGCTGTTCTTGTAGTGTGACTCATAGGCTGCAGTCAAACAGGCCGTTTGGCCCGATATAGTTGTTTTCCCCTAACGGATTAAACTGGCTGGTTCCCACAGCCACATCTGCCAGCCATTCCCCAGTAATACTCACCCCATCATAAGACGAGTTGGCAATGGAGTAACTAGACAGCAGTAACTAGACAGCAGTGCTAACGGATCCCCGCGCATTCATCCCGCATTTCCGGATGTCTGAACTCCCCTCTTGCAAAGTCAAGCCGTTTGGGAAGTCGGAACCTCTTCCCTTCCATTTCTGCGTCCTTTTTGGGGGGGGGGATCAGGTAGTGATGTTTGTATAAGTGCATAATCGCCCCTAGCATTGTCAGTCACCACAGCCAAGTAGTCATTTTGGATCTGGAGTTCTGAGGGAGTTGTTTTCAAGCAACAAATCCCACCCCCTCAAACCCCTCTCTCCGGTTTCTCTGTCAGAAAGCAT